CACACACACTCTTAGAGTTATGTGAGAGATGACAATGGATGTGAAGAGAAGAGTGGAAGACGCATTGACCTGATCTCACATTCTTCTTCTTCTTCTTCTTCTTCTTCTTCTTCTTCTTCATTCTCTTCTCTTCGATCTATCATTCCTGTTCTTTGAATTGTGATGAACGCATTTCTCTCAAAAAAATTGAGTTTTGCATCGAGAATTTGGCAGGATGTCAGGATCATAACAAGATGCAAAAACTAGAAAGATGTTAGTAATAAAGATAGAGACAGAACAAACTACAGATACAAATAAAAAGGGTTGGAAGGTGAAACTGTGGAAAAAGATTCAGACAGACAAGCACTTTGAAACATGCCCTAAACGAAAACAGTATTACCAGGAAAGTACATATTAAGAGACTTCGTACTGAAAACAAGCAAAACAAGAAAAAAAATAAAAACAAGAAAAAACACGAAAAAACAAGAAAAAACATAAAATTTGATATAAACAAGAAAAAAAAGAAAAAACAAGAGAAAACAAGAAAAAACAAGAAAAAACAAGAAAAAACAAGAAAAAACTAGAAAAAACAAAAAAAAAAAAGAAAAAACAAGAAAAAACAAGAAAAAACAAGAAAAACAAGAAAGAGACAGGTTCTGAGTCGTTGGACCTTTTTTTTTTTTTTTTTTTTTTTCCACGCCCTGCCTCTTGGTTGGTTTTCCGCTGGCTCGGCTTTCAAGTTCAACTTGGTTGTTGATGATTGCTTGTGGAAGAGGTGATTCAATCATTCCATCTATTATGCAACTTGTGCCATTAATTTATCTACCTCCCTGATCATTGTACTTCTCATTTTTTCCCATCAATTTGTTACAAAGTGGAAGTCTGAGTACGTCATCGAACGCGGTGGAAGGGGGGGGGGAATTCAAGCTTTAGGGGAGAAAAATGACTTAATTGGAATTCTATGTTTGTTATTAATAAATTAATCATGTTATGTATTTTCTGTCACTTGTTTCTTTTTTGTTAATCTGCTTAATTACATTTCAAACACTTGTCAGTTTCTGGAGGTAGTAAAAGGTGGAAGTCAAGCCTGTGGCCAGGAGTCTGGGATTATGTCTCGCCAAACTCTCAATTTGCAGGTTGGTTAAGCTCGCTCCGTCTTTTTTTTTTTTTTTTTTCCTTTTTCTGATCCTCGTCTTGTCTGTGCCTCCTCCCTCTCATGTTTCCTCTTTTTCTTCTCCCCCTTTTTTTCCCCCTTTTTCTCCTGTTTTCGAAAATTTCTCCCTTTTTTTGCCCCCATTTTTCTCCTTTCCTCTTTCTTTCATCCATTCGTTCCTTTATAAAGATTAAATCCTTTCCTTTTTCTCTGTTTTTTCCTTCTTCAATTTCCTCTCTTTCATCTTCTTTTTGCTTCCTTTCTTTCCTTGCTTCTTTCTTCATTTATCATTGTGTCCCTTCTTTCTTTGCTAATGATCTTTCTTTCTTTCTTTTTTTTCTTCTCTTTTTCTTTCTTTTTCGTTTATTTTTCTTTCGTTTTCCTTTCCCTCCTCCCCCCCCCCCCCCCCCTTATTATTCAAGAATGACCGGTTGTGAAGTAATGTGTGTGATGACGTGTTCTATCTTTCATACGTGAAGTAAAGCGTCTTCAAGTTTATTATTGGTGTGCTATAATTGATTTACTGATCATATTACATGCGTGCCACTCATTACACGATCCCCTAGACCAGGTTCTCTGTATCCATAGTCTTCGTTTCCCTCAATTCTCTCTCATGGTAGGTTTCTCCTTGCCCTTTTGTTCCGTAGTTTCCTTCTCTTTTTTTTTTTTTTTTTTTTTTTTTGAAGCACAACTCAATCCAGTTTCCTCCTTTTTTTGGTTTCCTTTTTCTTTTCTTTTTTTTCCCTTTTTCTTTGGAATCTTTCTTTCTTAGTCGACCTGCAGCATGTTCTTGTTGGTCCTAAAAAAAAAAGACTACTTTGGCCACGACGAAGTCACAAAAAAGTTGAAGAAATGGAAAAGAGACTTCAATGGACAGTGGACACGTCTTTCTTTCTCCAATCTCTACTTGCAAATTGGGATCCATAATAAATTCATATTAATTTAATAATGATATACGGTACCCCTCTACCCCTTTTTTTCCCAATTTACTTTTGCAGTGGGGTGAGGATTTCGGGTCCAACTTTTCCTTTGCCCATCTTCAGCAATGCTGACATTCCTTTATCTGTTTGCATTTCATCTTTTGCGTGTTTTCCCATTGCTTGTGTTCTCTGTTTCTATTTTTGTCCCCAATTGAATGTGTCCCCTTTTCTTGGTTTCTTTCATTTGCCGTCTATCTATTGTTCCCACTCTGGGACCATCACATCTTCAGCTGTGCAGCGGCACAGATACCAACGCCGTGGCTGCCGTAGCTCAGCTCGTATTTGCTCCGGTAGATGCAGCGTCATCAGCAGATGACGTCTCGATACTGCCGTCCGGCTTTCGGGTCATTCCTATTGACGCGGGTCTGGTGAGTGCGATTCTTTCTCCGTTCCCACAGCTCTCTCTCTCTCTCTCTCTCTCTCTCTCTCTCTCTCTCTCTCTCTCTCTCTCTCTCTCTCTCTCTCTCCCCTATAAACCACCTCACCTCTCTCTCTCTCTCTCTTTCTCCTTTATAATCCAACGCAGTCATTTTCCCTTTTTGATTCACCTCAATACGGCAATGTGAACTTTTTGAGTCTTTTTCGTTTTTCAGTTCAGGAACTTCAGGGTTGAGGATTCTTGAGTGACCCCCCCCCCCTCCCYCCCCCCCCCAACCAAAAAAAAAACAAACAAATGAAAAAATGAATGTGCATTGATTGCAATCACCCCCTCCTCCCCCCACCCACCCACCCAAAGAATGGCCTTGGGGAGATGGAAATTCAATAGTGTGCTTGCAAATAAATCAACAGGAGCCGCAGTCTCCATTCTTTTTTTCATTTTTTTCTTTTTTTTCCCGCTCAATTCTATTTATAAAATCTGATGATGTACTAGCTACGTGTGTCTCCCTGTTGCAGGCTTGACAACTGCTATTCCAGGCTCTAGCCTGCCAGTGGTCCCCACCATAGCTCGATCCATTGAACGCAATTCATGACAACAACAATTTTGGCTGGACAGAGTGAAGCGGCAGGGAGAGGGGAGGGTTGAGGAGGCCTCGGGGGGGGGGGGGGGGGGGGGGGGGGGGGGGGGGGGGGGGGGGGGGGGGGGGGGGGGGGGGGGGGTTGTAAGAGGGGAAGGGGGGGCGGAGAGGGAAGGTTGTAATAGGGGGAGGGGGGGGCAGGAGGCCGGAAGCGAAGGGAGTAGCACGTTGTTGGTATTTGGATGCATACAAACCCTTTAAGTTACCGTCTTCAGCCGAATAGAACAGAAAATACAGTTATAAAATATTAAAGACCTTATTGGGGGGGGGAAGATGGTAGCTATACTGGTGATCAGTGATACTGTGTACCCTGTACAGTGTGCAGTCCGCATATTGTCCTTTTTCTTTTCGTTTCTTAAACTTTCTTTTCTTCCCTTTTCCGTATCCATTTGCTTTCCTTTCTTTCTTCCGTTTCCTTTTCCTTCGTTTTTTCTTTTCCATTTTAAAATTTAAATTCTTTTCTTTGTTTTTTCCCCCCTTTTTTTTCCTTTTTCACGCGCAGTATTCTATGTTCTACTTCATAATACCCACAGCCCGTGTGGCTGAACCGTACACCCTGAAAAAAAAAAAAAAAAAAAAAGAAGTGTACACCCATGACCTGTTGACAAACAGATATGAGTTCGAATCCAAGTGGAATCAGATGAGTGAATTACTAAAATAACTATGAATTCACCTGAAGCTGTCAGTTCGAAGCTGTATATATATATACATATGACGATATATATAATATGTATATACGATATATATATAATATTTGTTTATTTTAATTAATTATTTATTTATTTATTTTATGACGATATCTCAAGGCCGTCGCCCTTTTCAAAAAGAAAAAAGGAAAAGAAGTATTGTATTGCATAATAATGCAAATGCAGTTGCCACAGCATATTGTAAAAAAAAAAGAATATGTATCTGCCTCATCGTCCTCGTGGCTGCTTTCTTTCTGTGTGACACAGGACATGGCTGCATTACTAACCAAACGTGCAAAATGAGAATGAATAATCTTCCGCTAGAACATGGAAAGATTCGTGGCCATATTTTTTGTATTTGAGTATTGGAGCAAGCTCAGCAAGACCCCACGTGTTTTAGCATCTGATGATCATGATGGAATGTGTGGGTATATGATTGCAGGGAGTTGAAGGCCGGCCGCAATCGAGAACGCTAGACCTTGCTGCCTCTCTGGATACTAGGGACCACAGCAATAGGGAGGCAGTGGATGGAATGTCGGCAGGGGTGTGCTGGAGGTCGGTGCTAACCATGACCTTTCAGTTCTCGTACAAACCGCATTCAGAAAATGATATGGCGACGGTCGCTCGAGTGTATGTACGGTCAGTTGTTAACTATGTGCAAAGGGTGGCAATGGCGCTCGCGCCAGCTCCCCCCTCGCGGCCTCAATCGCAACCGTTCATGGTCTCGCTTGCACAGAATCTCGTGAGAAGTTACAGGTGAGCGTGCATCGTCATGCACTTCCACATCACATTGTGTGCACTTCTCTCTCTCTCTCTCTCTCTCTCTCTCTCTCTCTCTCTCTCTCTCTCTCTCTCTCTCTCTCTCTC